AATATTAATGGCAAAGCTTTAAACTTATTTTTAAACAACTCGAGTTTATTTAAATTTCTGTATAAAAAGTCGGTCTTTCTATACCCAAATACCTAAAAATTAATGGTATCGAATAAACAGTGTTAAGACCGACTAAAAAATAAGTGGCATAAATGGTTGTCAATTCGATGAATACCTCCTTGGTTTTCTTTTTATAATTTTTCAAGGTTACATTTTTTGCACTAGTGTTTAACAAGGCACTTAAAACATTAACTACAAATGATTTTGTAATATTTCTAGTTGCTAAAACCAGAGTAAATCCGAGAATTGTTCTCAACAATCCCAAACCTAAAATTTTCAATCAAAATGTAAAAAATACTTTGGGATTGTAATTAAATAACAAATTATTTTATTTTATGTGTCAGTATATCAGAATGTAACTTACCTAGCATGTAGATATTTGGCCAAATTATTTCATAAGGAGGTGGATGTGGATAAGGTGTTAAATTTCCAACATAGAAATTCGTCCAAGCTCCGATGTGGATTCCGGCCCATACACTTGTCACCATTGTTGTATCTCCTCTTAAAATAACAAAAAAAAATTTTTATTTAATTTAATTAAATATATTGAAATGAGACAATGATAAAATTTCTTACCTAGTTGGAGTCCAATGTCCTGAATTAGGAAAAAAATATGTGGCAGAAGCTGAGGTTAATAAAAGTACGAAAGGAGAATAAAAAGATGTTAACCAATAATAATCAATATAATCTACCATTGGTACCATAAAAATCATAAGAAAAATTGAAAAAAATATTCCAACAATTATATCCTGAAATTACACATATAAATTTCTCTTATTATCGACACTAATTCAAAATTGATTTTCTACTTAAAAAAAAACTTACCAATACTGTATGCATTCCAAAATAAACTCTACTTATACAAATAATGACACACCATGTTATTGAAAATAATATTCCAAATGTAAATGAATAAATATATCTATTCATGGTGAATATTAAAACAGAAAATGGTATGGAAACGGCAATCATGGCATGAGTAGAAGGCATTCCATATTCTTCTGCCCATTTTTTTTGTATTCTTTTAGCTGGATAACTTGGCCTAGGCCATTTGACTATATCTTTTGTTCCTTGTCCTGAAAAAATAAATACCTTAACATAAATAATAATTCTTAATGAAAAAATATATATATTTGCATACCTATGTACATAACAATGGTCCACACAGATACAACTCTTCTTCCGACAGCTCCATCGATATTCCAAAACCAAAATGGTATAAATGATGCATAAAAAATTTCATCGCCTAAATTAGTACCAATTAAAAACAAATAATACCAAAATTTATTTTGAATTATATAATCATCATTATTATTTGGCTTATTTAAATCCCATTTTTTTTCCCTAATACTACTACTAGTATTATTTGTAGAATTATTTTTTAAAATTTCCAAATTTGATTTTTCACTTTTTATTATGTCTTTAATACCAAAATGATTTTGTATGACAGCAACCAATGAAGGTTGTTTTAAATATTCTATCAGATCCCACATAATTATTTGTACAAACAAATACAATTATTATTATTATTATTAATTTTCATTGTAAAAATTTTTATTTTTTACATTAAATCAAATAATTTTTATTTTAAATCACATTTTACTTATTTTTGTAACTTATCACTTGTGTGTAAATTTTGATTTTTCAATAACAACCTAATCAGTAAAATAATACAAATACAAAAAAAAACGTTTTAAAAATTATTATTATTATTATTATTATTATTCTGAACAATTAAAAAATAATTTACTAAATTTAACACAGGTTTTTTTTTAAATAATATTAATAAATATTTGTATATTGTCCCGGCAAGCTAAGTAAAATATTTAAATTTAGGCTTATTGATTTAATTTACAATCTTGGTAGTAACAATTTCCGTTAAATTTTGGTACCAATACGTTAAAATTTCAAATCTGTAAATTCTAACAATAATTTTTTTTTTTAATTTTTACGTTATTCTTTAATTAAATGATTTTTTTTTTTTTTTTTAAGAAACGATCGCGTTACATGTTATTTTTCCTTTTTTTTCCAATGTTTTCCCCATTCGGTGAACTGAATTACTTTATCGATTAATTAAATTAAAGGTTATTATTTAAAAACATCGTTTTCAGTATTTATTCAAATATGTCGGATTCAGAAAATGATTTTATTGAAGAAGAATTAAAAGTACTTTTCTTAGGAGATTCAGGTGTCGGAAAGGTATATTATTTAGCATTTGAGTGTGTTTTAAAACACTATAAAATGTTTTAAAAAATGTTTTTTTTTTTTTTTTTTTTTTTAAGACTAGCTTGGTTAAAAGATATTGCAATAATGATTTTACAAGACAATATTTTCCAACCGTTGGAGTTGATTTTTTTTTAAAAAGATTAACATTGCAAAAATCAAGAAATGTTACATTGAAAATTTGGGATGTGGGTGGTTCTTCACAAAATAGTAATCTTTTGGATAAGTATATATTTGGTTCTAATGTAAGTAATTATTTTAAACACTAAAAAACAAAAAAAATTTTTGAAGGTCATTAAATGAAAATTTAATCGTTACAGATAATCATATTAGTTTATGACATTACCAATCATTCTTCTTTTTGTAACATCGAATTATGGCTTGAGCTGATAAAAAATACCAATAAACAATACCATAGAAAATCAATGATTGCAATTTTTGGTAATAAATGTGATTTAGAACATCAAAGAATGATAAGATTTGAAAAACATCAAAGATATGCAAGCGAAAATCATTTATTTTCTCAAATTGTTTCCGGAAGAACTGGTGAAAATGTACTATTTTTGAAAATTTTGTGTCATTAAAAACCTGAAAATTTTTCTTTTTTAAAATATTTCATTATTAATTTTTACATATTTAGGTAAATCTTTCATTACAAAGACTTGTCGCTGAATATTTGGGAATTAAATTAACAAAATCAGAAGTTGAAGAGAATCAACCAGTAGTCAGAGCTGAGATATCGACATATTCAAATTTACCTCCTCAGCCTGTAAGAACTTTGACCAACACATCAAGATCTTCTGTTTGTTCAATACAATAATTAATTCATCTTCAATATTTAATTTTGAACTGTGGCCTAAAAAAAAAAATCGCTTAAGAAAATTATAAATCGCGTGTAAGCTTTCATGCCTTTAATAATGAATTTAATTTAATTTAAAATAATATATATATATATATATATAAATTAAAAATAAAAAAAAGAATGAATTATATATATTTTACATAAAATTTACAATCATTTAAACTAATAATGCTTTCATATTATTTATTTATTAATTACAATTAATTAAATAAATTTTTTTTTTAAATAAGACTTATGTATAATTAATTTTTTTTTCTTTTCTTAATTACCTAAAATTGTATTATTACAATTTTACAAAAAAAATTAATGTATATTGATAATGAAGATTTTTTCAAAATGGAGTTTTCTAATATATTTTATGTTTTAAAATGGCGGCCACACAAACCTATTCGTCGTTCAATAATCTGAAAATGATTTTATCTTAACATAAATGTATGGGTCTTAACTCGGAGGAAATGAAAATATTTTAGTCAAGTTAACAATAATCTTCATCTTCGTTGTCTAACGATGGAGCTTGAGATGAATTTTGAATGTGTTGCCATTGCTGTTGTTCTACAGCAGCTTGTTCTTCTCTAGCTCTGTAATTTTAAATATCGACAAAATAACTTACAATACAGACTTAAAATGAAATTTATGTAAATAAAAAAAATTTAAATTACCTAGCAAATAATTCCTGTTGCTGTCTTAACAATTCTTCTTCAGGTATTCCAAGATTTTCCAATCGTGTGCTTTGCCTTTTACGTTGAGCAGCTACAGCTTTACAATCTTGTAAAACTGCATCAGCATCGGGAATATAATCACCAAATCCTAATCTATCTAATGCTGTAATAATAATAATATTTATAATTTTTTTTTTAAAAAGCAAATACAATTTAAATTCGACGACAACAACAACAACAACAATAATAATAATAAGAAAAACTTGCCAAGTAAAACATGTTCTGAATTAATTGTTTTCTTTTGTTGTGAATTGCAAATGTCATTTGCTTCTGATGAAAGTAAATGAATAAATTCAGTACAACAATTTAATATTAATTCTCTTGATTCGTTCGCAACTCGAATATTTGGAAGTATTTCTTTAATCATTTTATTTATAGAAGCTCTAGGTAGGGTAAGCTCATCATCATCCAAAGGCGGAATAGCACTAGATGATGCCATTCCTTTTTAACTCGAAAAAAATCTGTAATTTTTTTTTATAATAATGGCCACATTATTTCTTTTATCTATTAATATTTTACAAAACAAATCGAAAAATCGTAAGGTGAGAGTACATACCAAAACAAAACGTGCATTATTATAATTAAACTAAAAATTCTTCTAAGAGATCTAATAAATCACATCTGCTACTTGCAGCTATGTAAACATTAAAACCACGTTAAGTTGTTTTCTTTAGCCACGAGGTGGCTACTCAACTTGTTATTTTCTCTATGACTTTAGCACACAAGAAAAATTAATTTTTTTTTTTTTTTTTTTTTTTTTTTTACACAACTCGTTTAATATAAAATTAAATTAAAATTTCTTTTAAAAAATTTTTTGTTTTTCCTTTTTAAAACCTACGTCATTATTTTATGACGTCATTAATTTATTTTAATATAATTTTTACATAAAACTCTTTTAATACATATTCACAATTGATTTCATAATAAAATTTATTAATAAAAAAATTTTGTATTTATTTTCATGCAACTAAACCTTCTGAAAGAAATCATTAATTAATTCAAGATTCAAATGTAAAATTTTTGCCGAACTAAAAAAAATTATCATTATTTCATAAAAACTCAACACTTTTAAAATAATAATAATTATTTACTTTTGGCTTTCGTTAAAACAAACGAAAATAAACATGAAACGTAACTTATTCTAAAAATATATTATGCATTTTCAACTTTTAAAACGAACACTTGCGCAATTTTACGACAAAAAAAAAAAACAATTATAAAAAACTCGACGATTCTCTATCGCAAAAAAAATTTACAATAACCGCCAAACGACCATAGACGTCAATAAACGAGTAATAATAACGATAATAAATAATCAACGATTTCCCTCGTGATAACGAATTCGTAAAAGATTAATAGTAAAGTACGACGACATGAATGAACGTAGTAAGTATATTTACGTCGATGGCGCGATGACGTTTCACGCGAACGTTTTCAATCGCATAACGTCAATCAATAATGGGATTAACGTAATCACATAGACCGTTATTGCATTGTTTCAAAATCTCCCGCTAAAACTCGCCTTCGATGTGGATCTATTATTATTATTATTAGTCATTTACAACTTATTATCTTTATATATGTATACACGTACACCTTAGACCGTTTTAAACGTCACCTGCGAAGGGTAAGACTCATCAAATTCTGCGAAAAACGGTTAAGAAATTTGAAATGAATTCTGGAATTTGAAAGGAATGATTAACTTTTCATTCATTCATATTTAGTTTTCAGATAACGTTCGATGAAAACGGTCGTTAATAAATATTATTTTATTTCGTATATTATTTAAATTTTTTATTTTGTTGATTATTATTATTATTATTACTACCGTCGTTATTGTTGGCCCGAAAAATTAACAAAAACAAAGTAAAACTCTTTTAAAATGATTACATGTTTTTTTTCGTATGTTCCGCCATCTTTAATTCAAAGTGACGTGATTCATGGTTTTTTCATCAATTAGGTAAAAAAAAAAAAAAATAATAATAATAAATTAGTGTTTACAAACGAGAAATGAGAAAGCAAAAGATTTTCGTTTATAAAATTATAATTAATAATAATAATAATAATAAAGAAAATACGTTAAATGTGAATGAGAAAAATAATAGTTTAATGATATTTATGGGTTTATAGGGGTGATTGTGGATAAAACGAAACTGTTCGATTATTATTATTATATTAAAAAAAAAAATAGTAATTGTTATTTTTAATTAATTCTAATGCCAAAAGTGAGAACGTCCTCTAGAATAAAATCAAAAACAAACGGTAAGTTTTTATTATTTAAATAAAAAAAACCCGCGGAAAAAACGCGAAATAAGGTGGCAAATTTAAGCTATAAAAAAAACGCGAACGTCCTTCAGGATCATTGAATAACCGTTACAAATTAGGACAAGGTTGCTTGCCAAGGACGATTTTTAAATAAATTTTTACCCTAACATTATTAACATATATCGCCATTGTAATTAAAAAAAATTAACCCCTCCTCACTTTGTCATCCCCTCACCCTTTGTTCAGAATTAAATTTTTTTTTTTGAGTTTCTGTACGATTATCATTAAAACGAGTACGCGAAATTAATTTTCAAACCCAAAATAAAAATTAAATCGACTATTTATAATAATTATTAATTAATTTTCTTTTTTTTTTTTTTCCCCACGCCATATTGAAACAAACGACACGTTTATGCTTTTGTTTAGATATTAACAAAAAAACAATATTGTAATAATATATAATAATTTCTTTAACCATCACCATCGATATTATCATTATTATTATTATTTTATCAATAATTTAACTTGATTCACTTACTTTCTTTATAATTAAATTAAATTTTTTTAAAAAAAAATTCTCATTGAAATTATAATTTTATATGGAATATTGAAAGAAAAATCTTTAAGAAAGTGAATAGTGAACTATATATATACTATTTTAGTATGTGAATCATGTTTGTTATAATATTATCATTAAATTTTTTAAAGTTTTCAATAAAATAATAATAATAATAATAATAATAATAATAATAATAATAATAATATTAAGAACACGTGGCACTGTTTTAAATATTTGAGTTTATGAAAATTTTGTGAACATAAAATAAGAATTAATGAGTTTAAATGTGATTATTGTAAATTTTTTGGTTGTAGTTAATACAATAATCCTAATCAGATTAATCTATTAATAGATTATCTCTAGTTAATCAGATTAATTGTAATAATAATAATAATAATACAATCTCAGAGTATTTAACCCACCACCACCACCAACACCATTCTCACAATGTTTTTTTTTTTTTTTTAAATTAATAATATTTATCTACATAAAATAATAATAATTATTATTAAACTTACTCGGTTAGATGATCATCCTCATGAAAATTCACATCATTTTTCACACATTTTTCTCCCTGTAAATAAATAAAAAAGAAAAATATATGTATTATTGACTTTAATAAAAGGAATCATTGATAAGAAATCTGATGTAAATGAAATTATTTTTTTTCGATAAAATGGGGAAAATGGTGAATCACGTGATTCCAAGTAAAAATAAAATTTCTCTTAAAAATGTTTTTTTTTTATGTGATTTTTTAAAGATTTCCCATCATACTTTCACATAAACTTTCTCTGCAAATTATTTTAATTAAAAAAAAAAAATTTTCTTTTTTTAAGACCGGAAAAAAAAGAAAATTTTTTTTTTTTTTTTGCAACTCAGGTACAAAAGAAATTATAAAGGAGCGGCGAAAAAAAAAAATTAAATTCTTAAAATATTTGAAATTTTTCTCATTTTCGGTGCAGGTTTTTCACACAGGTACTCTCAAATGTATGATCTTATTTTTTTTTTTTTTTTAATTTCCCTCCCGATCGAATTAGATAAATGTGATCGTTTGAAAAATAAAAAATCATTTGTAGAGGACGAAACAGGAGAAGAAAACGATTCTTCGGATGATCTCTGTAGCAATGCATCGTCAACGAATCAATCTGGTAATGAAGAAAATGCCACGTCACAAACGAAAACCCACTGTGAAGATGAAGACATGGTTTTTGTGCCATCGGGTACGTTTTATTTATATCTCCAATTTTCTTTTTTTTTTATTTATAAATTATTAAATGACGGCAAAGTCATTATTATTTTACAACGATAATTCTAAACCTATTTATTACCACAAATTATAGTTTTTATTATTTAGAGAGATGAAAACTTTTTGTACTTTTTTTTCCAAGAATAAAAAAAAAAAAAATTTTTTTATGTAATGAAATCGATTTAAACGAGATTTTTGGGAAAACCCCCTCCCCTTCTCCCCCCTCTAAAAGAAAAAAAATTATTAATTATGTAAGCGAGTAAATTGGCGGGGGGGGGGCGAAGGGTAAATCCACATTTTTTAAAAATTGTGGAACAAATTGAAATTTTTTATTTTATTTTTTTTTTTGGCAAAAATTTAAATTAGTCACAAATTTTAGTTTTAATATAAAAAAAAATTAAATTAAAATTTATGCAATCGTAAGAAAAATAAAATTTCAATAAATCAAAAAATGAAATAGTTTTAAAAGGTCGTCATTTAAAAAAAGTACCGGATATCCGGTGTAGTAAAAAATTTTAAAACAACTTTTTTCGATTAGAAATTTTTTATGTACGAAAAAATTAATGAATGATTTTTTATAAATACCTTGTTGTTGTTGTTGTTGTTATTTTTTGAAAAAATTTAACTTTTTAAATAATTTATTATTATTATTATTATTATATTTAGATCCGGCTGAATGGAATTCGGAACACGTTTCGCAATGGTTGAATTGGACGACAAAAAAATTTAGACTGAATCCAAAGCCCGATTGTGATAAATTTCCAAAAACTGGAGTTGAATTATGCGAATTAACAAAATCGGATTTTGAAAAAATTACCGGTGATCAAAGATCCGGTGAGCTTTTAGCCGTACATTTAGCTCATTTGAGACACAGTGCGACGGGACACACGAGTAGTTCATTAAATGAAAAACCCAAATACAAAATTGATTTCGAAGGTAAGAAAAATTTATTATTATTATTATTATTAACTAACTCCGATATAATAATTATATCGATTTAAAGTGATTGGAATTCGATAAACGATCAAAGAGATTACGCGTTCTAAAAAAAAAAAACAAAATGACAAAGGAAAAGAAAACAATTTTCCTTTTTTTGTTTGTTTGTTTGTTTGTTTCCAAAGGAAAACTATTAAAAAAAAATAATAGTAAAAACATGAAAGGTTAAATATATATATATGGAGCCATAAACGTCTTAATAAGTTAAAAAGGGGTGAGTTTTTTCAAAGGAAATAAATGGCCATCATCATAGCTACTGTTAACACCACGGGTCAAGTCAGATTAAATAATTTAATGAAAATAAGACCTAAACACAATGGGGGACGCGTATACGAATATGCCCTTTTTCGTCTAACGTTATTCAATTGACCGGAAACTGTTAAGGATCCTTTGGGAAATCCGGCACTTACTCTTTTCCTATTGAATCAGTTCGGACGATCTCAATGCAATTACCTGGTTCCCATTCTCTCTCTCTCTCTCTCTTTTTCCTTTGGGAATAAGAAGAAAAATATTTTTATTTTTTTTTCCTTTTATCTAATTTTCAAGATTTCGATTTCCACGGATCATTTGTCATACTTTATTTATTTTCATTCGAATTTTTATAAATTTTCCGATCCTGTATTCGATTTTCACCATCGTTAAGTAATGAATTAAATTTTTTTTTTTTTCATTTTGACGTCATTTTGATGACGTCACGTTGCGTAACAAAAATTTAAAAAAAAAAAAAAATCTCTGACGCATATTTTCGCCATATGTTTCTACCGTGTGTGTATTCGTATCGTCTTATATAAGTTAAAGGGCTAAAAGTCGGGAGTCAGTCGGGGTCAAAGAGGAAGGAAGAGGTCAAAGAGAGAGAGAGAACAAACAAAAAAAAAAAAAATCATTCCCATATTTAAGCTAAAAAAAAAAAACGGTAGGGATATAAAAATCGTCCAACCCTTGGATTAAAAGCTCATCTTTGAACGGTATTACAATCCCACTATTGTTACACGGATTTTTTTTTCTTTTACGTCGTTATAATTTATCACTTACGTTTTATAATAATAATAATGATAATGATAATGATAATAAAATTTAAAAAGAAAATTTTCGATCAATTGAATTTCCCTTCAACTCCGCAAATGTTTAAATCCGTGAGAAGAAAACAAAAAAAAAAAAAAAAAAAATTCGCTTTCCGATATTAATATAGAAAATTTTATTCTGGAAAAGTATGGGAAAAGTACCACCCCCACCACCCCCACCACCACCCCCACTACATTCCCTATATATATATAATGTGACATTTGAAATGAAATAAGTTTTCAGAAAAGAATATAAAGCCTTTTCAAATCCCACTCTCGACGTTCTGATAAATAGCCGTTTAAATATCATGGAAATGCGTTCGTTCGTCGTCGTCGTTCAGTCAGATCTCTCTTTTTTTTTTTTTCATGCGGGGTCGCTTTATATGTTTTTTATTAGAACTTCCATGAATTTTTAACAGTCAGAATAGAAATCTTTCTTTTTCTTTTTAAAAAAAAAACAGAGAGGAAAACAAAAAAAAAATTTCACGAAATTTTCTTTTTTCCTTCTCACTCGATTAAATTTTTTTTTAAGTATAAAAAAAAATCGGAAGGAAATTTTCCCCCAAAAAAAAAAAAAAAATCAAGGAAAATTCCGAGAAGGAAAACTCGTTAAAATAAATATTCGACGACCTAAAAATTTTCCTATTTAATTTTTTTATACAAACAAACAACAAAGACTTATTATTATTATTATTAAATTTTTTTTTTTTTTTTTCGGATTCGTTTTGAAATTTTCCACTACGACTACGAAATTTTCACAGGGTTAGATTTCTATTGACAAGTTTTTAAAACAGTTTTGTGGTTTTACCCTATAATTAATAACAAAACCTGATAAATATGGAAACGTGAGTTTTTTTTTGTTGTTGTGCCTTTTTAATCAGGTATAAAAAAAAGTTTGGCGCCTAAAAAAAAAAAAAAAAAAATGGATTGCGGTTACTTTATTGCGGTTATTTTATTCCATCCTAACATTTAACCTTGATAAATATTTATAAAAAGGCGTTAATTAATTGTTTTCATTCATTCATTTTTTTTTTTTTTACGACACATGTAAAATTTTCACAGAATTTTCTTCATTTTTTTAATTTCGCAAGGGGGGGAGGGAGCCGGGGGGAATCATTTATTATAGTGCGTTGAAAAATTAATTAGTCATTAATAAAATAGACCCTTTTTTTTTTTTTTTTTTTATCCAACATGCGCGAAGGAAAGAAATGAAAAATTCAAAAGGCTTAAGCCGATGTCGATATTTGCCAAATAAAATTATGCAAAGTAAATCCGAAAGGTCATAAAGAGAACAGCAGGTGATGATCTTGGGGTCTTGGGGTCAAAGCTCATAGATTTAAGTCGAGACTAAAATCTCTGAAAATTTAAAAGAAAAAAAAAAGAAAAAGAAAATTCTAAGGGTGAAAAAGTTTTTATTTGCCACGTCACGTTTTTTTTTTTTTCTTTTTCGTTTTTCTTATTTTTTTTTTTATTAAATTTATTAAAAAATTATCATTATCATCATATTGACTAAATCAATAAGAAAGTTAGTCATTGAATTTTTTTTCACGACCGGAAGTTGGAAAAAAAAAAAAAAATCTATCAAATGAATTGATTCAAGGTAGTTAGTTATAAGATATATTGAATCAACCCCGGTTAACCTTTGAAAAAATTTTGAAAATGGAAAAAGTGGGTGGAGTGGAAGGATAAATTGGTAAAAAAAAAAAAAAAAAAAAGTCATCACGATTGTAAATAATTTTCCTTTGGGATAAATAATAATAATAACTCGTTTAACCCGAAATAAAAAAAAAGAAAAGAAAATTTCTTTGTTTGTGAAAAAAAAACGTTTGATAAATTTTCCTGTTTTTTTTTCCTTCCCTCCCTCCCTTTCCTCCTTTCTTCCCCCTTCCTCTTCCCCCCCTTAATAAGCGTTCATTTATACGCAATACGGGTAAAAAAAAAAAAAACACTGTCGGGAATTTAAAAAAAAAAAAAAAAAAGGAGAAGGGATGAACGAAAGTTAGGGGAAAAAGAGAAAGCAAGGAAAAAGAAAGGATGGAAGGAAGAAAGGAAGGAAGGAAGGAAGGAAGGAAGGAAGGAAGGAAGAACCAATGAAAATCTTTTACTTTATAAAGATATATATAGAAATGATAGTGTTTGTTTTCTCTCTCTCTCTCTCTTGTCCTGTGCGTGTGTATGTGTGTGTGTGTGTGCGTACAGTATGACCTTTTCAATTTTCCTATTGTGATCCTTATGAAAGATGCTGTTTTCGAGTTAATTTTCTTTTTTGAAAAAAATTTTCCGGATTCGAACGTGTGAAAATCGTTGGAGGTGATTCGCGAATTAAATTAAATTACTAAAACGTGGACAAAAATTAATAATAATAATAATAATAATTAAATTTTGGAATTATAATTTAAAATTGAGTGAAAAATTCCGCGAGTTTAAATGAGTCGAAAAGAAAATTTTAAAAAAAAATTTTAATGTGCGTGAGATAAATTAATAAACAAAAAAAAACGGATTTTCCGATTTGACTGAACCTTTTTTTTTTTTAAAAGAAAAACATGATTTCGTTAAATATCGATGAAAATTACGGAAAAATATAATTACATTCTGAACATGATGTGGAGAGTACAGGGAGGTTGTATGGCAGATGATTTTTTAACAGCCAGACGTTTTTTTCAACAAAACAGACAAAAAATGCTCTATAACGGTAAGAGATTTTTCATTTAAGTGCGGGGGGGAGGGGGTAAAAAAGAAAATCGTTTGTATATATGTGTGTGACAAATGAAAGTGATAATTGTGGATGAAAGAAGTCGTATAATAAAACTAACTGACCGCGGAATGACTAAAATTTTCCAAATACAAAGAAAAACATCATCGTTTAAATTTACTATGGTTTCTCCAGTTTTCTCCATTCTTTGATTTTTATTAAAGAAAGAAAATTTTAACGCCACTCCAGGGAAAATCATTTTCAAAAGATTTTAATTGAAATTTTTTTTTTTTTTTTTATAATATGTGAGAACGAATGAAAAATAAATAAAAAGAAGCCATAATAGATTTTTATGAAAAAATAATTGTTTGGAGAGTGTTTATGATTCCAGCAAAAAATTAAAAAAAAAATTCGTTTCCAGATGTTTTTTTTCTTAAATATTACTCGGGAGGGCGAAGGGGGGAAGGTGATAAAAAGAACGATTCGAAAATTCCAAAAAAATAAAATATTAACGATAAATAAAAAATTTTTTTTAAAATTTTCCAGATCCGTATCAATTGCTGAACGCGGCGAGCAGTCGCCTTGTAGCTCAAGGGTCGGGTCAGATTCAATTGTGGCAATTTCTGCTGGAGCTTTTAGCTGATTCGTCAAACGCTGCTTGCATTGCCTGGGAGGGAACCAATGGAGAATTTAAACTAACCGATCCGGACGAAGTTGCAAGGCGTTGGGGGGAAAGAAAATCAAAACCGAATATGAACTATGATAAACTTAGCAGAGCATTGAGGTAACGTTTACATACATTAATTAATTATTATTATTATTATTAATAAATTTTTTTTAAACGAGATTTTTCCTCGAAATTTTCAAATATTCTCGATCAAATCGATATTCTATAATATATAAGATATTGAAATCTCGTATTTCGAGTATCCTTTTTTTTTTTTTTTGACCACGTGACATCATCATAATGTTTTTCTTACGAAGTTACGTAAATGAAATATTGCATGACATTACGATCGTTATGAGACGAATGATCCAACTATAATTATTCACACGTTCGAAGAATTTTATTTTACATCCAAAAAAAAAAAAAAAAAAAAAAAAAAAAAACACGACCAACTTATTAATAATAATAAATTATTTTAAAATAATTAATTAATTCGAGTTGTTGTGTGATGTGAGGAGGACAATGAAAATCCAAAAGAAAATTAAATAAAACTATACTAAGAGAGAGAGAGAGAGAGAGAGAGAGAGATGGGGAAAAAAATTAATATAAAAAGATTTATTAGTTAAATAAAAAGTCAACGAACGAACGCAAAAAAAAATGGCGCACACACACACACACATACAAATTAATTAAATTTTAAAATCACGGCCAATCAAGGTTGAATTTTATATAAATGTGTGTGCCGTAATGCACGTACCTGAAAAATTATTATTTACATCGAATTTAATTTGATACCTGAATAACGACATGAATTATTATTATTATTATTATTAGCATCGTTTTTTCAATTAATTTTTAAACCGAGTTTCTCGATTATCGATCCCAATTTTATTGATATAAATTAAAATGTTTAATTTGATTGTTTCGTAGCCGGGTTTTCCCCCCTTTCGCACGTGCATTTATTGGAAAATGATTTTAAAAAAAAAATTTTTTTTTTTCAGGTATTATTACGATAAAAATATAATGACGAAAGTACACGGAAAAAGATACGCTTATAAATTTGATTTTCACGGATTGATGTTAGCATGTCAGGCACAAGCACAGGGAACGAGTGGGGATCCAACCATGACCTATGCTAAATATCACACACATCAAACAGAACTTGGAACGGCTTTATATCCTACCGGACCTAAAATACCCCCTATACCTTCCATACCACACACGGTAATGACAGTAAGTTTTTAAAAAATAATCCCCACAGTCAAGAAAATAATTAGATAAACGAATGATTTTTTTTTTTTTAATGACTTACAGAGTGGTAATTCTCTTTTTCCTGGTCCATCTTCATATTGGACGGCAACATCTGCATCCGTATCATCATCACTATCTTTTTACACGGGTTCATCATCACATTCCGGTGGTCCTAGATATCCCGGTTATCATTCGGAAGCACCACATTAAATAAAATTATTTCCCCTTTTTTTTTTTTAAATTTTTAAAAACTTGATTCGTTACAAAAATAACGGTTTAATCAATGTTATAAAATGCTGATGATAGCTTTAAAACATTAACAAAGTATTAATGTATGAGTAAATTGTGTACATATACTGAATTTTAATTTAAAGAAATAAAGTTTAGTATTTTTATGTAAAAAAAAATCCTCCTTAATTTGTTTTTTTCTTTTTTCAAATGTTTTCTACCTTCCATCTTTTACAACAGATTAAGTTGCTGTTGTTGTTGGTGCAACAAAATGCCTTATGAAACATTTTGATAGTAAGAGTATTAATAAATAATCTTCTGCATCTTATTATTAATAAATACTCTAAAATTGAAGTTTTAAACTTAATAAATATAGATCATTTAGAGAGAAACAAATTAATAATAACATAAAAATGTTGGCTTGAAACCAATATATGAAAACAATTTACTGTTTGCTATTACTTTCATGATAATGTTTTCACACTTATAGTTACAGAACATATTGTTGTAAAATATGTTCTGAATCACGTGCTGCACGTGTTAAAATATACATTTTTAGTCATAAAAAAGTAAATAACTCAAACGAATATCAAATATTTGTATATTGATGTTGAAATTGTGAAGAGTAGAGTGAAAAACCGTTACATGCATGCAATAACACATGCATCATTTTTAAAAATGATTTATTCCCGTTAATTAGTTGATTTAATACAAAATATTCACTTACCTTATGTTCTAGAAGAAATTAAAACGTTCAAAATCTTGATTAAACAACATTAAAATCAATAACTAATATTATAATTTAGTAAATTACTTAATAAAATGAAAAAAAAACGTTATTTCAATTTGCAAGTGAAAAAAATTTTTTTTAAAATTTCAGTTGATTTTTTTTTTTATCTCTATGAGATTTGCGTAATTTGAACGTCTATGGTCGAAAGTTTTGTGATTTGCCGTGTGTGTGTGTATGTGTGAATATCTAAATTTAAGATCATTTATAATATAAGAATATAAGCTTGAAATTTAAAAAAAAAAAATGACCACTCTTAGAAAATCATTAGTTTTATTAAATACCTTCAGTAGATAGTAAATATATTTCATTGCTTTAATATTTTCATGCCTTTTGCCTTTATTTTTTTTTTTTAATGGGAGAAAAATAAAATTTTGAATTGTTTTTACAGCGCTCATGTGAGAAAAATAACCAGTACTCGACCGGTTTTTAATTCGATTGCACCAAATGCAGAAGATTTATGTAAAACTTCACCGAAAATTGTACAAATTGCTGATAGTATAGCGCAATTGAATTTAATCGAAGTGGCCGAACTTACTGATCTATTAAAAAAAAAGCTAAATTTACCTGATGCACCTGTAATGGCTTTCGGTGCAGCAGCAGCTGCTGCTCCAGCTGCCAAAGTATATTAAATATCAATTTGTAAATGAAAAGTTAGAATGAGAGTAAATAATGATAATTCGATTTATGTTGGTTATTTTTTAGGTTGAAGAAGAGGTTACAACACAGACCAATTTCACAGTCAAATTGCTTAAATTCGATGAAAAACAAAAAGTAGCTTTAATAAAAGAAATAAAATCGTTAATAGAAGGAATGAATCTTGTTCAAGTAAGTCAGTCAATTCAAATCGAATGTATTATTATCAATTATTTTTCGAAAGGAATTTTCATAAATACCATTTCATTTCTTGTTTTAATCAACATAAATTTTAAATTGTTTAATTTTGGTTTGTTAAAAACTAATTATTCATTATTTTGTTTATAATTTTAGGCTAAAAAATTTGTCGAAAGTGCACCGATTGTAGTCAGAGAAAATATTGGAAAAACAGAGGCAGAAGATTTAAAGAATGCATTATTAAAAGTTGGAGCAGAAGTTGAGATAGTATAATTAGTTACTATAACCTTTTTTTTTTTTGAGAGAGAGTATTCAAGTATGATAATATTCCTAAGTCGTGTATGAAGTTTACATTTTTAAAGTTCAAAACAGTAAAAACTGTTATTAAAAGAATGATTATTATGTAAAGTGAACAGTTAAAAAATTTTTCTTATTTATTTCAATACAGTGTTGGTCATGATTTCATTCGATTTTATCATTGATGATGACAAATAATATTTTTTAATATAAAAAAATCATTCAGATAAGTTTAAATTAATAAACTTATTAATTTTTTTTTTTCGAGTAAAATTAAACCAAAACTTTTTGTATCAACTGAAATGTAAAAAAAATTAATAAAAATAATAAAAATCAAAGAAAAATTTCTTTTTTTTTTACCTTTTTGTTAATTAAAGTGATTTCCTTTTTGAAAAGAAAATAAATCCCTTCAATTTATTGATTTTCCATGTTTATCTGATTAACTTTATAAATTATAATTAAATTTTATAAATACTTAACTGATTTTGTCACACATTACAAATAAATTTTTTTTTTTTTTAAAGATATTTAGACACTGGTAACTTTAAAATAGTTTTATAAATTGTTGAAATTAATTAAATTTTCATTAAAACACAAATTTTCACAAATTATTCACTTGAATTTTCTTTTTTTTTTTTCATAATATAAAAGTTATGACTCGTAATCTACAGTAGTAAATGTAAAAAAAACTTACCGCATAAGTTTAACAAGTACTGATTTGACCATCGTAGTAATGTTGTTATTTTTCTATTCTTTTTTATAAAAAATCATGCAAAAAATATCAGATGTACTTTTGGTTTTGAAAAATAATTGGAAAAAATCAACTTTTGCTGTTGCAGTTATTTCATATGGGGCTAATCATTTTAAAAATACATACGAGTGAGAATGACATTTTTTTTTTTTTTTTTTTTTTCATAAAGATTATATAATTGATTTATATGTGTATCCTCTTCATTCTTGAATGTCCTGTTTTTATTTATTTTGATACACACACGCACTCACTTAAAGAATCACTACTTTTTATAATTTTTCAATTAAATTATTTTACAAATAATGTCAAAATAAAAAAAAAAAATTTCTATCAAAATATTTAATTTTTAGAAATAAGCTGTTGATGCGAGAATATTGTCAGTTAGCGTCAAAGTATGGTGACATAAGTAATCCGGCATCAAAACCTTTCAGGCATATAACCGTGGTATTAAATCCAGCAGCAAATAAGAGAAATTCTAAAGTTTTGTTTGAAAAATATTGTGCACCTTTACTTTACTTAGCAGGTTTGGCTGTAACGGTTGTTTATACAGAATATGCAGGACAGGCAAAAGATATTGCTGATAGTTTAGATCCTAAAACAGATGCTTTGGTTATAGCTGGAGGAGATGGTACCCTGTCCGAAGTAAGATTCATAAATTATTCTTAATAAATGTTTTAAAATTTGTCGAAAACTGAATTTAATTTTTTAGACCATCACTGGATTATTGAGAAGAGTTCAAGACAATAAAGAAATTCTTAAAAAATTACCTTTGGGTGTTTTACCCTTGGGTAGATCTAACTCTTTAGCAAATGCTCTCTTAGGTAATAGAGAAGAAGTAAGAGCTTTAGCCGATTCAACAATGGCTATAATCGATGGCTCGTTAACTACTGTCGATGTTATGAAAATAGAACCGATGAATGTAAGAATTAGCATTAATGTAAATATTTCTTCATTTTAATCGTAATAAAAGTGTCTTTTTTTATATTTTTTAAAAGTAAACATAATAAATGAGGCATTTCAACTTGGTTATGAAATTTTTGTTAGTTGTTTTGCATTCTAAAAATATATCATGATTCACAAATTTTAATAACTCAAATCGAATTTCATTCGATTAATTCGACTAATTTTTCATATGTGAGTCAGGTTAATTAATATGCCATCATTTAATTGATAAAATATTTTAAATTCATTTCTCGACTCCGAAATGTAATTTTAATGAAATATTTTAATTTCAGTATGAAGAAAATTCAAAACCTGTTTATGGTTTAATACAAGTTGAATGGGGTTCATTTAGAAATGCTAAAGCTAACAGAGATAAATATTGGTATTTTGGTACATTTCGAGATTATATATCATACATATTTACAAAAGTTGAAAAGGGTGCTTGGGAATGTTCATACACAGAACCATGTAAAGGATGTAATAAATGTGTGCAAAAGAAGCAAGTTACTCAAAGATGGTGGCATGTTTTTATGCCTAGCCTTAGTAAAACAGGTATCTTTTTACAATCGATTTGATTGAAATTTTGTTTTCAAAGCATCAAACCAACATTCATTTGGTTTTAAAAAATAAATGTTGCTGTTACATTTTTAATTAATCGCAGAAGAATCAGAAGGTAACTTATTAATAATATCACATGATAAAAAGAAAAAAAAAACAAATAATGATAATAAAGTATATAATTAATAGATACAATCAATGACAAATACTTTTTAACCGATTTCATTTCTAATATAAAAAAACACTTATAATTATTATCATTATTAATATTTTTTCGCTTTATTCAAACAGATAAAGATTACAGCAACGTGGTTAACGAAACGTGTGGAAAAGTAATGCAAAAGGAATTATCGACGGTTGAAATAGCAATAAAAACGGCTACGGTATATAATAAACCAGTGACGGATGCACCTCATCTTGTTTTAACGGTTTTACCTGATTCCGTGAGATGGACAAATTTCGTTACGGAAGGATGGAAAAGGATAAGGGGTAAACAATTAAATGATTCGGTTGATGCTACAGCCGTTAGAGAATTAAATTTAGTACCTAAAACTCAAGTGAGTCTCATTTTAATTTTAATTAATCCTCACCCAAAAACCGTTGTTAGTAATTAACATTAACTCATCATTATTATTATTATTATTATTAATAATTTTCAGAACGAAAACGATTGGCTATCGATAGATAATGAAAATTTCGAAGTGAAACCAATGAAAATATCAATATTACCAAAAGCTGTTAATATTTTTCAACCTAGACTAAGCGGATACATATAAAAAAATAATTAATAATTATTATTTTTTAACCGCCATTTTGCTTACGTCATCATCTTGTAGGATACATATATGGGAAAGACAAAGAAGAAAAAGAAATTTTTTTTTTAAATATAGAAAAAGTAAGTAAGAGATAAGATAAATATGTAAAAACCTGTTCTTTTTTCAATTTCTACGAACGTGTTTGTGATGATAAATATCACAATCGTTATTATCTTCCAGCGGTGATAAATCGTGTTGATCTAAAAAACCGGAATCTTCATACTTTGGCGTACGGATCGGAGTTGCAGAATCGGTACATGTCGCTGTCGCTGTCGTAGGATCCTCATACCTGAAACAGAAAATGTTATTATTTAAATTAATTAAAAAAACAGGTTTCATATTCGAATTTGAACAAAAAAAAAAAAAAATCAATGTAAAATTTTTAGTCGAAAATAATAATAATAATGATAATAATGAAGGAAAGAAACGAATTTTTTTAAAGTATATACAAACGTTTAAAGCCCATCCGTCGATAACATGGGAAATATGTACAAAAAGTATGGAAAAGCGTGGGATTAACCGTACGAATTCCTAAATTTTGAAATTATTTCAATGATGGAAAAGGGAGAAATGTCGCCGGATTGTAAATTTATGTGTGTGCAAGTTAAAAAAAAACCACGTCAATGGTAGCGTTACAAAAAATGTTTTTTTTTTCGATTTGTAGTAATGATAATGATAATAAAGCGAAAGTGCACGGAGGAAGGGAATCAATCAGTCAATCAATCAATCAAATCAATCAATCAATCAATCAATCAAGCTTTTGTTGTTGTTGTTGTTTATATCAAAACTCACCACCCGAGTTTGTAATTATGATGATGATGATTTCCTTTTAACAATAGCTTGAAAAATGAAAATTTTTTTTTTTTTTTTTTTATACTTTACACATTTTTAAGAAAAACTTTTAACGGTTTTTTTTAGGAAAATTTTTTTTAAAATTTCTTACCTTTTAGATAATAAAGTAAAATCTCTATGAGCAGCAACTAATTTTTCCAATTTTGTTATCAATTCGTAATCGGTTGATGATGGTAACAAACCCAAAGCTTTACAAGCAGACGATCTGAAGTTATGAAGCTGAAAACGAATCGAATTGTTTTATTTATTTAATTAATGATGATGATGATGATGATGATGATAATATTACCATATTTTCTCTTCTGTTACATTCTGCCAATGATAATTTTGCATTTGCCAAATCATCCCTTAAAATTTGTAGAGAATGTTCAGTTAATGATCTTTCCTGATCTGCATTTTGTCCAAGATTTCTTAATTCTTCTTTAAGCATCGCTATCTACGAAAACGTTATCAATTTTTCTTATCAATCCTCTGGGGAGCAAGGGAGGGAGTGAGGGGGACTTTTACCTTTTTATTACATCTATTTATAATCCCTTCGGATTCAATGAGCCTTTTTTGTAATTCATCAATTTTTCTTCCTCTTTCCAAAGCGGTTATTTTAATATCTCCAGCTTCTGCCAATTGATTTTTTATATCTTGACTTAAAGTTCTACTATCCGATAATTGATTTTGTAATTTTTCTATTTGTTTCATTAATTTTTTACATTTTAATGTTGCTTCATCTCTTTCTACCGCCATTAAATTTTTCGTTTTGAAATTTTCTTCCTTTTTTTACGAGAGAGAGAGAGAGAGAAAGAGAATAAATAAAAGATATTAAAAATAATAATCGGATTCGTATTTTAAAAATTAAATTAAATTTTAAAATTCGATTTTAGTAATAATAATAATAATAATAATAATAATAATAAAATAATTTAATTTTTTTTTCCTAACTCTTCCTCTTTTCCTCTTCCTCTTTCTCTCACTTCCTTTCTCTCTATAATTGACTAAATTGATTGGGATAATTAAATTACAAAAAGAGAGTGAGAGAAAAAAA